TTGTCAAATAAATTCCCAAGTAATTATTAGATTCCAAGAACATATAAGGTACCAGGCAAGTGTCTGATGGTCTAACCAGATACTGTTAGAAATATATGATGTGTAGGAGTATATATTTTCTAAGGACCGGAATGATCTTGTTCACTACTTTACACATCAAAGAACGTTGGGCCAATTATAGGAGACTGTTTACTGAATGCAATCAGGACCAAAGATTAGAAGATCTTGAAGGATAACTTAATGCACCATCCCAATCCTCATGATATTCTTGTTGAATAGAATTTATACAAGAAAAGAAAAAAACAAACAAAGCTGTTTTCTGCCATCTAAAGTTTCTTCTTTTGTTATCAATTCATATACCCCAGTTCCTCTCTTTATAGGCTATATGCATATTATTGGATGTATTCCATAGATGTGAACTGATTAGAGAGTGGAGTCTGGTTGCCTTAACTGTCGTTGGATATTTCCCAAATATCCTCTGTTACTCTTTTCATAATAATGTGCAAAGTAGCATTTTTGTATGTTTCCTTTATATTTTAAACTTATTTTTAATACAAATACAGTAAAATTTACCCTTTGAATTTTAGGAGCTTTGACAAATAGAGTTGTGTAACTATCACCACAATCAAAATATGAAACAGTTCTTTACTCTTCCCCTCTGCCCCCAAAGAAATACTTCCTTGAGTTACACTTTCAAAATAGATTCCTTCCACAGATGGCTAACCTCTATTATGTGTTCTAACATTTTTGTTTGCAGAGGATTATATTTTCTGGCATTATCTACCAGTTATGAAACCCACCAGACAAATATGCTGTCATTTCCAAAGATGGATAAAATGGGGTTTTCTAATATGTGTATGAATATCTGCTTAGCTAGCGGTGGGTATATCAAGTTTACTTGATCTGTGAACTTACAACAAAACACAAAACATTGACATATATTCTAAAGACATTTCCCCCAAAGAAAGTAGGAGAAAAACTTTAACATTCTAATTGGAACTCTATCCACAAGAACTATATTAGCTCTGAGGATTGGGAAAGAGAACTGCTAAGTCATATCACCAATTCATTTCCTTCCTTTAAATGAGTCACGAGGACAGAGATAACCCCAACACACTAGAAGCTGCTCCAGTGCACAAGTAATTATATCCACTCCTGCTTTCCAGAAACTAGGTCTAGGCATTAAGGACTTTCCTAAGTAAAGCATGCATCCATTTAACCTATGCAAGTTAGTAACTGAATTTATTGCTGTTGTTTTAATAAAGGCTCTTTAAAAGTATGTATATATAAATGGTCCATATGCATCCTCATTATGGACAGTTTAAACAATGGAAAACTAAATGTCATTTCAACTCTATTATGTCTTGATGGTATTTAGGAACTTAAAAAAATATGTTATGTGAGTTCAATGAATTATTTCACATATGAACAGGTCTTGTTAATATTTCTGACCACCTAAGGGACTCAGTCTATGCCATAGGCTGACAAATTACTTTTATAATAAAATAGGAGGAATTTGGGTTTATAAATTAAATGGTGGCCACAAGTGTATCCTTAAGGGCCCTGAGGTCTGGTTACCTCTACTTGGCTCTACCACTAACCCAGGGAGTGAAAAGGCAGACCTTTTTTTTCTTTGAGAACTTATTGCTCTATCTTCCAGACGCTCATAGAGACCCTATAGTCCTGCCAATTGCAAGAATACAAGACTGAATGATTATTTGCCAAATACCTGCAGCTGAAGAACTCAGCAGCACAGTTAGATATATACTAAGATAATTATGTTGAATCATTAGAAATTTAATTCTAAGACGCAAAGTCTCCTGTTATCACAAATTCAGAAATAACCAGGTGGTCTAATAAAATCCCACATCAGACGAGTCTTATAACAGGATTCCTCTGTCTGAGCAGAGAGGTTGGCAGCCATCCATGTATTTCCCATCTGTCTTCTTCTTATCCTCCCACAACTCCCCACCCTTGGCTTCTCTTAGCACTGTTTCCCATTCTTAAACTTTTCTTCCACTTTTACCTCCTCCTGCTTCCATTTTTCTTGAGAGTAGACCACATGATTAAAGTGCCATTCTCTCTCATTGTAACACTTTCCAATGAAACACTGGAAATAGTCAAGGAAGAAGGAATGTGAGAGAACATTGTGTGAATTTCAGGATGAACAGAAAGGAGGTATGCCCCTGTCATGCTGACTCACGTGACTCTTCTAGCATTTACTGGAATGACCTTCAATTCAAATGAGAACCACAAAATACCAGTAATTTTATCTGGGGAATATTTATATTTTGGTGTAGTAGGTGAATTCCCAATTAAAGGGCATTATTTGAAGCATTTTTTTCTCCCAAATGTAGTTTCATATTGGTTAGGCCTTGCATTGTTAATTGGTTGTTTTGGTTCAAAGAGAAGATTTTCTTTTTGCTTTTAAAATCCACTCATTCTCCATTCCTTATAACTAACTCCCATGTTAAAGAAGATATGCTGAGCCCTAGATTTCTCTAACACAGACCAACCCAATATTTTCCTTCTCCAATGATTTCTTCCCAATGTAGAGCCTAGTGGGCTTGGTGATTGAGTGTACATGGAAGAAAGTCAAGAATTTAGAACATTCCCTGACAATGGCAATAAAAATGTCTGATTATTCTGAGGCCTCTCCCTCCCTACCCCCACATTAGTGCAAAGGGTAAACTGCTACTAATGTCACAAAGGGTGGAAAAGTACAGGGTGACTACTCTTGATTTATGTTTCACATTCTCAATCCAGGGGTCTTTCTACCTCTCACTGCCCACTGGACTTTCTGGGCATCTGTTTTATGGTGATAAAATAAAAATACAGACACTAAAAATCAGTATGCTTTTGAAAATGACATTATATTATAAATGTCACTCCTAATATATTAAGGTGAGTCTATTAGTAGACTATGTCATAACTAGAAACAAAAAATATTAAACAAAGGTAACAATAATGTGTATAAACTAAAATATCTGCAGTTTCAAAATTAGTGATAATATTACTTTTCAATTAAGTATCTTTCCAGTATCAGATATAAAACGTAATATAAAGATACTAGACATCATTAGCCATGCATTTTCAAATACCTTTGTAACAATAAAATGCACCAAAAAAAAAAATTCAATAAGTTCTGGTCCGTATTCTGACATTTATATTGGAGAGCTTAATTTCCCAATCAAGCTCTGGATTATAAAGTAAGAACCAACTGATTCTTTTAACTGTCAGAATAAAACAGACAGAGCCATTGTGCTCTGCTGTGGTTTGCCATAGTCACTTGTAACGTGGAATTGTCTCCGGTCTGAGCAGCCCATTTGCAAATAAGAACTTATCTCTAAAGAAGGTATAAAACAGATGGTGGCCAAAATGAAATTCCATTTCTCCTCCATTTCAAGAGGACACATTAGCCTAATTTAAAAGCCAATTATTCCTATTGATGCAACAAATTCTTGGGCCAGGCCACAACCTCCATAATTCTATGTGAGTTTAAGGCTCAGGACTTACTGAATTGCAAGCCAAGAAGCAATGGAGTCAACATGAAAAACCACCAGAGAGCCCCTGCCCACTCCATTCTGTCCTGGTGCTTTGGACAGTGAAAGCACCACTCCCCTCACTTTGCTGCCCTTCCCATATGCCTCCCGGCCTCATAAAGCTCACCATCTCATCCTCCTGCTAGGCTGATCACTTCCTACAAGTGCCTGGTGCTGGAGGCAGCGGTGGTAGAAGACCTAGCATTTATTTAATAATTTTAGAAAAAAGCAGGAGGGTGGGACACAGGAGTGGGCCTCCTTTCACTGGACATGCCAGCTCTCCTTCTTAATTACTAAGCCCAAAACCCATGGAAGTAGACAATACAGGCTCTCTTACCACCCACACACAGAGACTAAGCATGCAGCCATTCCCAAGGCCCAGAGCCCTGAGTTAGTCCAGGACCCTCTCCCAGCCCTGTCTCCAGTGACCCGAGACCAGACCTTAGACCTGGCCAGGGTGACTGGCTCTGAGCAAAAAACGACCAATCCTAGTAACACTTAAGTTAGGTAGAAATGGTCTCCATGGAATTGTGGAACCAGCCACTTAGATCACTCCACCAGTGTCCATGTGAGGAGGATGGAAAAATGGCAAGGAGACAGGTGAAAGAGCACGGCCCCTGGTTAGACAGTGGCCTGTCCTTAGACACACATGATGCAGTCAACCAGGCCACAGTAACGGGCTCAGCAGAGAAATGTCAGGGACTGCAGGAGTCACCAAAGGGCATTTTTTACTCTGATACCTGTGTGAAGGAGGAAGTGCAAGTGTAGTTTTAGAGACTCTCAGTCTTGGAATTTTCCACCTGACGTTGTTTCAGGTGTTGGATTAGAATGCACACATACTAAGATGACTTTGTAACACTGGGTAATATGCTTTTCTTAACCACACTGATCTCATTCACTCCATACGTCCCAGCAGCACACCTGGCTCAGGCTGGATACTCAGAACATCTGAGATCTGAGTTAATCATTCAAGTCTCCTTTCCCATGTGGCCTTGAATATCCCCATCCTCAGCAGCAAAGACCCCCAGACAGAGAGAGACAGTCGTTCCCTTAGAGCAGTGGTCGGCAAACCGCAGCTCTGTTGACTAATGAGTTTGCCAACCACTGTCGTATACTACCCTTTACCCCCACTTTGCACACAATATGCCACAATCGCCTAATCCTCACAGCTTCCAACTACACGGTAACATTTAGTTTAGTCCAATGGTAGGCCTGGAGCCCTAGGGTTCCCCTCCAGCAGGCCAGTGTTCTCCACCTTTGTGACCAGGTTGCAAGGAGCTTGGGGAAGGGGGGGGGGGGCAGTGATATTTTGAACAGCCCTAGGACAAATGAGGGTCAATATTAAGCAGGCATTACTCTTCATAAACTAGTACTGACACCTAGCCAAAACCCTTAATGGGGAAAAAGGTTCTTTTTTAAACAATAGCTTTCTTTATCATTAAAGGAATATTGCCAAGGATGCAGAAGGAACTGAAGATGATCAAAGATGAGGATGTGCCTTTCAATCTGGGGATGAAGAGGGCCCCTTCTTTCCCCCACTGCCTGCAGCCAGTGGGTTCCCGAGGGAAGGCTCCCCAAAGACACCACCCCTTCCCAGATGCTCTCAGGGGCCCTTTCTCCCAGTTCCGGTACGAGCCTCCTCCTGGAGACCTGGATGGCTGCTACCCGGGGGTCTTTGAAGGAGGAGGGTCCCGGAAACGGAAGAGCGTGCCCACCAAGATGCCCTACGCCCACCCCTCGGAGGAAGCCGCCCTGGCCCTCCAAGCCGAGGACAGCAAACTGCGGGGCCACCCCAACTTCCCCCTGCTGTTCCCGCAGCCCCCGCGGGCCCCCAAATACGACTCGCAGATGATCGACCTGTGCAACGTGGGCTTCCAGTTCTACCGCGGCCTGGAGCAGCCGGGGGGCGGCAAGCGCGTCAAGCAGGAGCCGGTGAAGCCCAGCGCCATGTGGCCGCAGCCCACGCCCGCGCCCTTCCTGCCCGCGCCCTACCCCTTCTACCCCAAGGTGCCCCCGGGGCTCGTGCTGCCCTTCTTCCTGCCCACGGCCTCCCCGTTCCCCTTCGGCCGGCACCCCTTCCTACCCAAGCAGCCCCCCGACCCCCAGCTGCTGCCTCCCCCCCGCAAGGCGGAGCCCCCCGAGGGCGGCGAGGAGGCCAAGCAGAAGGTGGAGCGCATGGACGTGAACGTGCAGATCGACGACAGCTACTGCGTGGACGTGGGCGGCGCGCAGAAGCGCTGGCAGTGCCCGACCTGCGACAAGTCCTACACGTCCAAGTACAACCTGGTCACCCACATCCTGGGCCACAGCGGCATCAAGCCGCACGCGTGCGCCCGCTGCGGCAAGCTCTTCAAGCAGCTCAGCCACCTGCACACGCACATGCTCACGCACCAGGGCACACGGCCGCACAAGTGCCAGGTGTGCCACAAGGCCTTCACGCAGACCAGCCACCTCAAGCGCCACATGATGCAGCACAGCGAGGTGAAGCCGCACAACTGCCGCGTGTGCGGCCGCGGCTTCGCCTACCCCAGCGAGCTCAAGGCGCACGAGGCCAAGCACGCCAGCGGGCGCGAGAACATCTGCGTGGAGTGCGGCCTCGACTTCCCCACGCTGGCGCAGCTCAAGCGCCACCTCACCGCGCACCGCGGGCCCGTCCAGTACAACTGCTCCGAGTGCGACAAGACCTTCCAGTACCCGAGCCAGCTGCAGAACCACATGATGAAGCACAAGGACATCCGGCCCTACATCTGCTCCGAGTGCGGCATGGAGTTCGTGCAGCCGCACCACCTCAAGCAGCACTCGCTCACCCACAAGGTACACGGGGACCTGACCTGGGGAGGGGCCGGCCGCGCTGCTCCCTACCTCTGCCAGGAGGGGCTGTGCAACCCTGGGCAGCGGCTCCCTTGCCCTGAGCCCGGATGTCCTCCCTCCCCTGCCAGTGGGAGAATGAGGAGACTAGCAATCAAGTGCTTTCCCAGCCAGCCCTCTAGGGTCTGAGACGGGCCTGGAAATAAATAATGGGCACTATTCGGAGAAGAAGGCGGGAAGGAGGAAGGAAGCAGCAGGTCTTTGTGCTCTTGCTTCTTTGTTTCCTAGAATTTGTAAAATTCTGTTTCTGGAAACTTCATTCAGGGTGACAGCAGGAGTGTGTCATCAGGCTTTATCTACCGGAGACCAGCGCTGAGCCCGAGATACATTAATCAGAGCCCTTTTCTGGAGAATTCTCTTGGTTTCTTGCTGCTGAAGCAGTGGTTTCCTTTCCCTGCGTCTTCTCCCTCAACTGGGAGACCTGCTTCGTGTGCAGGTGGCTCTGGGGGAACAGAAGCTTCGTCCAGCAGGGTCTGTGCTGCCCTGGGGGAGCCCCTGCCTAGTTGACTGTGGTGCTATGTGGTTTGTATGGAGGAGGCAGAGAGAGCATCCTTCTCTGGTTAGAATTTATCTTCCCTGAGCTAGGCTCTTCAAGGAGGAATACAGGTTACGGTCTCCGTTCAGCTGAGTTTGTAACCAAAGCCCTGGAGTCATTCAGGGTAAACTAAAACAAGGCCCCAGTGGTCTCCCAAAATCTTACCAGCTGAGCTGACTTGGGGCTGCTTTGAGCTTCTGAGAGGGAAGGTTTGCCTCACTGACCTTCACCTTTGACCTCAAGTGGTTTTCTTAGGAGAGATTTCTAGCAAGCCAGAGATCCTAAAACATTCTTTAGTTCTTAAAGGCCCGTGGAGGACTTTTCCCAGTCAAGATGTCATTTATATTCTGCCATGAAGGGTTTTATTTGATAGGTTAGGACATAGTACAGGGCATTTCTGGCTCTGCTGCAGAGATCAACTGTGTAGCTGCCTGTTGAACTCTGTTCCAACAGCTCCTGCCCCACACAAGGCACCTGTAGATAGCATTCAGAGAAGAAGGGCCCACTCCCACCGAGTGCAGGGACCGTCAACAAAGAAACTAGACTTCCGCCCAAAGGGATCATTCGCTGATTTATGGGGCTCCTACATGTGTGGATAAGAAATCAAAGACGCATTTTGAAGCATAAACATTCTGTAAGAGTAGAAACTGAAATCAAAGTGGGAAAACAGCCTGGTATCTAAAATAAGTCTCATTTAAATTAGGAAACAATGCATTTTAATAAAGGATTCAGCAAACAGCGAGAGGTAGTATTTATTGAATGTTTCTATGTGGCAGCTGCTTTACTTTGCATGTAATCCCCTTCAACGATGCTAAGAGCTACTTGTGGGTTTCAATACTTCCCAATTGCAAATGAGATGCTGAGGCAGGGAGAGGTCACCCAGAATCTCTGACTCTGGTACCTGAGCTCTTGAACCCTATTGCCAAGACTTGCCTTTCTTCACCCACTTCCCTCCCTTCCCCTAACAACTCCACAACTCCCTCTGTGATTCTACTGATCCTTTTAGAGACACAGTGGCTTCCTGTGTTCCTCAAAGTTGTGTCCAGGCTCCCTTCACTTGGGTTCTAGGCTGCCCCACATGTGAGTTTTACTTTGGACACAGATTTCTCTTTAGAAAATTCCAAAACAGTGATAAGTAGGTACTTCTTGGTCCTAGCATGACTGGCTTATAGCCAGTATAAGAGACAATCTTGAGGAGAAAGATCTTAAGTAAATTTTACAAGCCATCAAGAAAATAGTTTTCATTCATTTCCTAATTTTAAACTCACTTTTGAGTATGCAACACCTATTTTAAATTGAGATATCTTCATTAGCATCAGTCCATACACCTCTGCAGTAATTAGACTAAAGAGCATTCCAGCTTCTCATGGCTTACCTCTTCACCTTGAGATGAGGAAGCCGTCACCAGGAAAGGCCACAAGACTTGCCTTAGGTTATACAGCCAGTAAGTGGCTGGGCAGAGATCTGAACTCACCCTTTAGTGCCATGGGCTCATCAAAACTGAGGGATGGTACTTTCTTACCATGCCCCAAATGAAAGAACTGAAAATACAGGCAGAGAGAGGCAGAGCTAAGCATGGAACCCCCTCCCTCTGTAAGTCACTATGGATACCAGCCAATATGGTATTTATAAAGTACAATTGTTAGATAGGCAACATGGTCTAAACCTGTATTAGCCTTCATTTTAATGCTATAGTTCTCTAAGTTTTCCTTCCCAAAAAGTCATCCTGGATCAAGATTCCTTGCAAAGGCCTTTTCAGGGAAGCACTGGTTAGTCAGGATCAGCTAATATTCTATTCATGCTGAGTCCTTAGAAATGCTTTCAACTAAGGGCATTGATGCTTAAGTTATTCAAACACTTCTCCACAAACAGCAAGGAAACTAGAACATCTCCTTTTCTAATTCAGAAAGCTATAATCTCTATAGGACAGAAGCTGGCTTAGAGGAGGTTCTATACCCAAATCAAACAGAGGTCACTGTGGCCTGTAGAAACTCAGAGGACCATCTCAGGTGATTATCATGTTGTACTTTATGGAAGTGTGGATATAAGTTGTTCTGGGATTTTTCAAGTCCATTAATAAGAACTCAAGATATGGGAAATGATATTATCAGTTCGGTGTTTTTTTTTTTTCTCATTATCATGAAAGCAGGATTATAGATTCATTTTGAATATCATTCCATAGTGCTCTGACCAAAATCCCACTAATCCCCGAGAACTGTTACTAATCCCCGCAGCAGCAGGAACAACAAAAGTATTAGCTTTCCTTTTCTCTAACTTTATGTAGTTTATGGTTTTTGGAGAGAAAAAAAAAAGATTACATAATGAACATTTTTCAGGAAAATAGCAATTTAACAAGGCAAAGCTACACCATTTGGAATTCAATATCTATCAGCAAGCTCATCATGGGTTTATGCAGCAGAAAGGAAAACAAAGACTACAACCCAAATGAAAGCAGGTTACCTGCTAACCACGGTTGTTTTGACTCTTGCTTCCCTGCAGGGTGTGAAGGAGCACAAGTGTGGGATTTGCGGGCGGGAGTTCACTCTGTTGGCCAACATGAAGAGACACGTGCTGATCCACACCAACATCCGCGCCTACCAGTGTCACCTCTGCTACAAGAGTTTTGTGCAGAAACAGACTCTCAAGGCACACATGATCGTCCACTCTGACGTGAAGCCTTTCAAATGCAAGGTGGGCAGGGGGCCCTGGGAGAGTTCGGAAAGGGGGGACTCTGAGGGTTGTGCAAACGCCCAAAGCGGAAGAGTCTCCAGGGAACCTTCCACTCCATTTCATCAAGGCCACTGAAGCTCAGAGTAGGCCCATCGCCAACCTCAGGCTCATCTGCTACTCTTTCTCTCTTTCCACCACACCTTTGCTCACACCAACCCTCAGCTGGGCCCTGCTCGTCTCATTGTGGAATCAGTTCCTGGGGGTAGAGGCACCAGTAGGGGAAAGACTGAGGGTGGAAGGACCACTTGGGGAATGAGGTGGTTCAGAGATGAAGGGATGTGGAGAGCTCCTGTTCTAGAAAAGAGCTATCCTCTTCCCTGTGCAAGCCAATGAGTAAAATACAGAAAGGAGTCAGAGAAGCTTCTAGCACTGCCCCCACTCCCATCTGACCCCTCCCCTCCTGCCCTCCTGATACTTGGGCTGAGTGACATAACTTAAAGGCAGGTCTTCCAGAGAGGATGACAGATATTCTGAAGCTAGCCCTCAGATGACCTCAAAAATGCTCGGTTGGGCCGAGGAATGACCGTGAGCACACTCATCTGGAGCATTTCTCACTTATTCCTAAGGACCATGGAGTACCTTTGTTAAAGTCTCCGTGTCACATTAAGTTGCTTGGATTTTTATTTCATCAGCTGAGGTAATGCGTGAGCTGAAGATCTATAAAACCCAAGGCACTGAGTGGTGTCACTCAGAAATGCTTGGGCTTCCCAGGCGGTCCCCTCCCAACGTTGCTGCTCTTCACTTCTAAGAGGAAAAAGAATCTTGCTCACGATTGGGTAGTTTCATCCAAGGAATGTACCGGCAAGTGTCACTGAATGCACGTCTTGAGTGGGGAGCTGAGGGGAAGAAGAGGGAAATCACCATGTTCAGCTAACACTAAGCCTTTCTGTTGGAAACGGAGGTTTCCCTTCTCTCTGTTACTGCGTGTCTGACGGGGTCCAAATGATAGTCTCAGTGGATCCCTATTTCTGAAGTAGGGTGTCCCACTTCCAGGGGCTGTTCCTGCATTCAGGCCCCTGCAGCATGTCTCCTCACTTGAAGGAACCCCCTGTGAAGCCAACTTCTTTCCTGTGCTGGCCATTCCTGGACAGGGTGAGAAGGGTCAGGAACCAGAGCTTCCCTAGACCTGTGTGGGCATTCTCCGGAGGTGGGGGAAGGAGATTTCTCCCTCCAGCCCTTTTCCTGCCTCCCACTTGTGTTTCCCCTCCTTTCCTTCAAGTTCTAGTTATTTTGAAAGTCAATTTATGTCCATCTTGAGTCATCTGAGCGGAATAGGGAGGAAGCTGTATGTAGGACCTGGTGCAAAAGGAAAATGTGAGGACCTTCGTTCAAATGTTAGGAAGGATTTAAGATAGTAAAAACAGAGCATCATGCAGAACTCAGGACCCTTCTGAGTTTGGGGTCCTGTGTGGCAGCCTTGCTGCGTGAGCCAATGGATGCCACCGACCAAGTCCTCTCTCTCTCGGCACTTCTTTGATTCCCTACCCACTTCACTAAGCCCTTTGACCCCTGCACTTTTAATAGAGCCGTTGCTGCCTGCCAGGGTTTCCTGTCTCCTACAATGGAGGTGCAAACAGGAGCTCTTTTCTACTCTTCATTCCTGTGGTGAATTTACGCTTGGACTTCAAGCACACTCTTTATTTTTTATCTTATCAACTGCTGGTAGAGAACACATAAAGTTGGTTAAAATATGAAGGGAACCATTGCATAGTTCCCTAAAATTTCACACCTGTCCAGTCCAACCAACTCCCACCTCCACCTCATCAATTCAGGTCCAGCAGTAGTGGTTAAATCAGGAAGAAAACGTCCCTGAAACGGAAGGATATGCGAGGGGGCAGAACCAATACAGGACAAGGGCTTGTAGGCTATGTGTGATTTGGGGCCACAGAGACAGTCCTATTTCTTTATATCGAGGGCATCAGAGGAGCCTGAGTGATTTCATGGCCCTGGTGGTACATGAGGATTTAGAGGGTTCTCTCTGGTACCGGTTCATAGAAACTGTACAATGCAAGTATAACAAGGGCCCAGTGATGCAGTGAGCTAGCCTGGCTTGATGTTTCAGGCCTCCCCTCATAAACAACTGCCCCCTCTTCCCCAGTGATAGTGCACCATACATGGGTGTTCGATGGCTAGCTTCATGATTCAGAAACTTAATTCGGCTTCTCCTTGGGTGTGCAGCAGGCTCTGGATATCTGGTCACACCTTCAGAGAGGGACTTGTAGCATAAAATGCCAGCTCTGAAAGGATGCACACCCAAGGGGAGATGGGCCTGGAGCGGGAATTGAACTGGTATCTTCAGGGTCACTTCTTCCTGGGGCCTAGGTTCTCTCAGCAGCTGTAGGTCAGGAGGCCGCCTAGGAGAGTGATTATACTAGTATCATTAGAACAAAAATAATTGGATGTGAAAGGGGAATTTTAAAAAAATCAAATGCAGGTGGCTCTTCTCCATTCTTAGACATTTCTAAAACAAGAACAGGTGTCAGTCGCCTTGAATATGAGCTCTCTCCTGGAAAGTGCCAGAAACATACCACAGGTTCTCCCTCTATTTGTTCCCATCTCCCTGCAGAGTGCCACCCTGGTCACCCTTTCTACTATCACCCTCCTCACTTCAAAGGCATTTCAGAGCATGTCTGAGTTCACAGGCTATTGTAATGGGCCTCTGTGTGTTGGAAAGCTAGCTACAGGTGCCATGGTGAAACGGGTCACCTTAACAGGGTGTCCTTCGGACTTTGATTCCCATTCATGTTGTGCTGGATTCTTGGAATTCTGATCCTGGGTGGAGCTTGTTGGGGATTTGAGAGTTGGGAAAAGAATGGAGGGCCATTTGCTCATTGTTGTGTAATCCATAGCCTTTAGGGAGGAGTGGCTGGTAGGCTACATAGTGATGGTGGAGAACAGGGCCAGACAACTAAACCAAGGCTTTATCATGGTGACAGGGCAGGCATTTTCCTCACAGGATTGGCATGGCTGGGTGGGGGAGGTGGGGGAGGAGAAGGGCAGACATTGCTCCTGCCATACTCTGAGAAGTAGCTCTGTCTCCTTTACCCCAACCTTGCAAGTGAAGAAGAAGAAGAAGAAAAAAAAGGAGATTCTTTAGGTAATAGATTCTAATTTCTTGGGACTTTTGCCACTAAAAAATCCTTCCTAAAATAAACCCCTCCCCTGTTGCAATATGAACTGGTTCTCTCTAGTCCGTGCTCAGTGGAAACAGCTGTCCTCAGCAAGCAGCAAAGTTCGCTCACGGTGGGATTAAGCTTTAACAATAGAATGGAAAATTAGAGGAGAAGAAAGGTTTCCATTCTGTTTCTTTTTCTTTCCTTATAAAAAAAGAAATTACTGCCCTTCTGGGCTCTTTTGCTATTGGCTCGGCTCCTGGACTCCTAGCTCTCGGAGCCAGCTGGAGCCGGTCCAGAGACCTGCGCCTGTGCACTTAAGCTTGTTTCAGAAAGATGCTTCCCAGATACTGCGTAAGCATGCGGGGGTCGACTTGGATGCTATCCTTGTAGCGGCCACACTCCATAAAAGCAGAGAACCAGCTGCCGTCTTTGGGAAACCTGTCCAGGAAAAGCAGCCATCCAGAATTTCCGGGACACATTCTCCTTTGAGATGGGTGAAGCCGGGAGCTGCCTAAGTTATGAATCACCAGGTCATCTGCAGCCCGGTCTGAAGCAGAGGCCTGAAGGCCAAGGGCAGAGCTGATAGAAGAGGATGAGGTCTCCTTGAAAAGGGTCCCCACCGCCTCTGCCAAGCAGGCCCCATCTTCCCTTCTGGCTTTTGGATGCCTCATGGGGGAGAAACCAGGTGGGGACTTTTAGGGGCGCCATACTTGAAACCGAGGTTCTCAGGCTGGCATTGAGGGGGTTAAGGCAGTGACCAGATAGCAGCCTTTTGGCAGCAAAGCCCTCCTCAGCAGAAGGAAGGATATAGCTGTATGAACTGCCTGCTTAACAATGCCTCACATGTCCCCAGGGGCCCGCCTGCAAATAGATTTCATCTTGCTTTCTCTTGTTCTTTTCAAAGCTTCCTGTTTTCTCACGGCCCTTTTGGACAGTTTACAGTCTCTCTCTCCCTCCCTCCCTCTCTCTCCCTTTGAGGAAAGGAACACCCTTCTTATTAAAAGAGAGAGAGAGGGAAAAGAATGTAAGGGAAGGGTAGTTTAGCAGAGGCCATTCTCCTGGGCTGCAGGCTGCAGCTCTTTGACCTTTTCTCCCAGAATAGGAAAACACAGGCTTCCTGGCGCATCTGTCCTCAGGCTCACACAGGCTGGTTGGCACAAAGCAGAGTGGCTCTTCTTGGCTTCGTGGGCCTCTGGCCGCAGCCCAGCCGCTGCCCGCTGCACATAGCTGCATGGCTTCTCCGTGGCTCTGGCTGGCAGCATCATCGCTGGGACTCATGGGAAGTTGCCTGAGGCAACTCCCGGCCCTGGATCAGTGAGGGAAGAGGCATGAGGGAGCTGGAATTTAGAACACCTATGAAGATGAGGAACAGGGTGCCTGCCAGCTATTTAGAGGACTGAGGATCAGGCAGCCAGAGACTAGGTTCTCCCCAAACCTGCAATCTAAGAGCAATCTTCTTTTTCCACCCTCATTTCCCAGAGCTGGGTCAGGCACAACTGCCTCCATTTCTATTATGCTTTGAGTAACCTGGCAGATATTTACACAAAGGATCCCTCACTTCCTTCAGTATTCCCTGCAAATAATTTAGTTTAAAAAGACAGCACCCCCATCTTCAAAGATCTTCTTATTTCTGGGATGTAAAAGCATAGTCCATAATAATATAGTAAAAACTCTTATTTATTGAGCTCTATTTGCCAGACCTTTTACATGAATGGTCTCATTTGATCTTTATAACAACCGTTATAAGAAACTATAATTATCATCAACATTTTAGGGAAGAGAAAATGGAGAGCTCGTTCCCTATCCCTCTGAGGTCTCCCTATCCTCTACTCTGCCCTCTCAAAGACCTATGCAATCCGCTACTAAAGGACAGTTCAAAACAATTGTTCCAATTTCCTGTTAAATATTGAGGCCCACCTACTTCTTGACAAGTAGGTATAAATGTGTGCATCGATGGGAAAGCTGAGGCTTCGTACCAGGCTCACTAATATCCCTCCTTAGAGTATGAGAGTTTAAGAGGGGTGGGCGATTGAGATGACCGCCTGCAAGAGGAATGCTGTCCTCTCCACTCCAGCAGTTCCCCACCAATGCCTGCCCATATCTTAATCTTCGCAGACATGGGCAGGAAATGATGCAGCAAGTATTGACTTGAGCAAACGCTTAGCCTCACCTGTCGTGACGAAAGGGGGCATTGATATAGATGGCTGCTTTTCTCAGAAGAAACTAGGGTTTTGGTGCTCCCTATCATCCTGACTTCTTTTTTCTAGTCTAACTCCCTTCCTCCGCTACAATGACTATGCTTGGAGCTCATATCTCAAACCACAGCATCATCTTTAATGACCCAGTCTTCCTTCTCTGGCCCCCCTTTGCTGGATACTGAGGATAGTCACAAAGACAAGGAAGGTAGCCCTAGCACTTCTGAAGGTGCTTTTGGCATCTTTCAGTGTCCCACCATCTTCAGAGTTCACCTACCTCCACTCAGCCTGGGAAAGCTCTCCATTGGAGGCCCAGTAAGCTATGCAAACCATGAAGGATAATTTTAGTAAATACAAATTAATTTTTACCAATAGCACAGAAAGCAGTCTCCTTTACCAATCACACATTAGAAAATATAGCTTCCCGGTCATATCCCACCATGGACCTTCCCTGAGGCCATAGGCCTTGACAAGTAGCATTGATATGTCCCAGGAAGTTTAGTCGTGAATGAATTGAGTCAGGAAAGAAACATTAGAATAGAAAAACACACACTGGGCTTTGATAAAGATTCATAAAATGTTGCCTGTCTAAGGCTGAGGAAGATTCTAGGAAATGCCCCATGGTAGCCATTGTGATGTATGCACACCTCTGTGTGTGGTGGTGGGAGAGGGGTGAGGGGAAGGGAGCCGGGACCTTAGGGCAGGTGAAGTGCAAGGTCTTCTCTGACCCCAAAGTTATAGCAGTTGTGGCAGCAACAGGGACAGTAACCTTGCCTGTGTCTAAGGTTGAGGGAGGAATCTAAATATGTTCAACGAAAAAACTATTTTTGTGGCAAAACAACCCTCCACATGCCCTTCCTTCCCCCCCCCAAAAAAAGGGTACTCTACACATTCTTCAAGGTTAGGCTAAAATTCTATCAGTTTTATAAGACCCTTTTAGAGGTCCAGCTTCTTATATCTTGGCAGCCATAGATAATAACTAACAGTGGAATTTCGCCCTTCATGGGATCCAAGTGCAGGAGGCACCCATCTTGTCCTTTCAGTTCTCTCTGTTGCCTGTAGGACCATGAGACCCATTTAGGCTTGGACTAAGCACAGTAGCCTAACTGTTCCCCCGGCCTCCAGCTCCTCTCTCCCTGCATGGCTTGTTGGGCAAGGGGGAGGGGAGAAGAAGTAGAGCTAATTTTGCTGTTTTTGAGTCTTCTGCTGCAGCATCATTTCTAATAATTAGGAACCAAATTAAGTATACTTTTTTTTGACCATGACTTGAATATCTAATGCAGAATCTTTAGATTCAAAGCTTTTGTTTTTCTGTAGCCAGAACAGAGAATTACATAAACTAAACTAATAAATAGATAACAAAAGGTTCCCAGAACTTGTGCACATGTGCAAAACTTAGCCACAGGTTGATAACATCTTAATACATAGTCTCTGTTGAAAATAAAAGAAAGCAACTATCCATCCCACATGTAGAGCTTCCAAAGATGTTGAAATTAGACCAACTCTCTCAACCTTTCCCTTCTTGGGTCACCTTTTCTAAATGAATGTGGTGTGCACATACTCTGAGTACTGAGTGTGGGAATTCATCTTTGCTGGTAAGGAAGTAAAAAGGGAAAAAAGTACTTAAAATCCCAAATATGAATCATTTAAAAATACAGAACCAACCATTCATTATCCATGTGTGGATTATCTGTGATAAATGTAATACCCCAGGCTGGCTTCCTCCTACCATCCAGCATTCTTTTGAGCTAATCTCTCAAGATCACCATTTGTTAGGTCTGTCCATTCTGCCAAGGCTAGCTCAACTCTCACCTCCATAGCCACATGAGGAAAACATTGCCTTCATTACCAAGAATCCAACCCAGAATCCCCAACCATGGCCCTGAAAATGCCTCTCGGGAAGAGAGGAAAACCGATGTCAGCCTTAGAGGACGCGGTTGCTCCGAGTCCTCTCGTCATGGCATTTCTCACTCCGTACTGGCTTCTGAGGTTGGGGTGGGACAGGGAATGTCCCTCCCTTGACACTGTGTCCAAGCACAGCCAAGGAAGGGCTGGGGTCTCCAAGCCCTGCCTTGCTAAGGCTTAGGGACAACAAGACCAAGCAAAGCACACTCTCCCCACCTGCAAACTGTGCCTTGGAAAAGACAGTGTCTCTTCTGAAAGCAGTTGGAGAACCATTGTCGTGGTCCATCACGCATTTGCACTTTAATGGAAATGAAGAGAAATGACAAAGAAAAAAATAAATAAATAAAACATATTTACTTCTTGTATACCTGAGATAATATTTTAAGTACTTCAAATCTCTACCCAGAGAAAAGACATTCCTTCCTTTACATGTCTCCATTTTCATTCCAATAATTAGCAAATTTAAAAATTAGAAAAGTGTGGTGAGGTGGCTGACCATGTGGCTTCTGGTGTCCAATGACCTGAGTTCATTATCCCAACTCCAGCACCCACTAGGTGTGTGCTTTGGCCAATCTTAATCCCTCAGTTTGTCCATCTCTAAAATGGGGGTGACAACAGTACTCAGCCTCCGGGACTGATGTGAAAATTAAGTGTGATGTTCCATGGCAGACTTAGGATAGTGCCTTCCATATTGCCAACGCTCCATAAATATTAAGTAAGTAACTGTATCATTATTATTCAAGTGAAGCACACTTTGAGCAATTGCTTTTCAGATCAGCTTTTCCCCTTTTCAAACGGTTCAAAAGAAGCTCTAATAGCTTTGGGATTTTTACTTGGAGTTTTAAACCCTCTACCACAAGGACAGAATCTTAAGAGTCCATCCCTACCTGCTGCTCGTCTGAGCCTGGCCACAGTCCACCCCCTCCTTGACTTCCATGGAGACATTTTCTGTGGAAGCCACTTGAAATGCCCAGATCCAAGCAAAGGGCCTCACACGGGCCTGGCTGTAGGTTCACGTGGGTGGGGTCCTCTGTCTGCAAGTGACCTGTGTACTCCTCATCTCCGTCTCTGACAGTTGTGCGGGAAGGAATTCAACCGGATGCACAACCTGATGGGCCACATGCATCTGCACTCTGACAGCAAACCCTTCAAGTGCCTCTACTGCCCCAGCAAATTCACCCTGAAGGGGAACCTGACGCGCCACATGAAAGTCAAGCATGGCGTCATGGAGCGGGGCCTCCATTCTCAAGGTATTAATCTCTTAAGAAGCCCCCGTGCCTGCGGGGCCAATGGGTAACCTTGTTTACAGGGGGCTTCGCTTTATCCTTATGGTCAAAAAAGGGAGTGCAAACTTTAAAGACGAGACAGGCCTGCAGGGTAGCAGGAGCAAGCTGACAATGTTATGGTAATAAATAAAATGCTAAGATCTGAAGGTGGTAAGTACAAATGAAGTCTAGGAAGTCAATTGGAACATTGTAATGATGCCAGCTGGAGGGACTTCTGTTAGTCCCATTTTATAGATGGGGGAACTGAGGCTTCCCAACATTCATTTGCCAGAAGTTGGTCAATTGAAAAGTGGTAGAGTCAGGATTTGAACACGGACCTTTCTGACTCTAGAGCCTGTTTGTGTACACACTTCACCACACAGCTGTTCAAGGGCATGCGGTTTTTTCCCCTTTTGGAAAAACAGTCTGCAAGCTCTGATGTCAGCAAAGGTATGTCTGCAGGCCTCCTCTGACTGTCCAGGACCAGACAGGCTCAAGGGCAGTTTCCCTGCTCAGCGGGGGCTATGTCTCCCTCTGTGAGACCTGACTGAAGGGATGGAAAGTTCTCGCCTTGTTTATCAGTCCCAGGGCCCCCAGAGTTCATGTTCTAGATCTGCTGAACTTGGCAGGTTGCTCCTTTGTCACTAAGCAGGCAGTCTTTCAATCGGCGGTAAGTGCAGTCCGTCCTAGGCGTGTGCCCTGAGCCGGGCAGCAGTGAGGGACGGAGACCAGCTTTGTCCTCTGGGAGGTCTGCGTGTAGGGAGAGAAGACATACAGAGAGGCAACTTAAATCGTACTAGCTGTCCGCTCTCTTCTGGTCACTGGTATAACCAAAGCACAGGCAGAGACACATTAGAGCTCATTCCCACAATTCCACCAAGTAGACTGTGTTGTTCTCCTTTTATACAAGAGGAGATATAAACTACTCAAGGTCAAACAGCAAGTCTAAAAGGCAGAACTGGAGTTCCAATTCAAGAATTTCTGAGTCAAGCCAGTGCTCACCACACTAGGTAAAAACACAGGTGATTCATTTGTGTTTGCTCTTTCTCCCACCCTTTCCAAAGGAGATGGTCAGATAGGCACACACGTTCATAAATGAGCAGCACACAACGGAATGATTGTGGTTTTCAGATTTTTACAACATCACCCTGACTTCTGGGCGACAGGGAACTGTGGTCATAAAGCAAGGCCTAGAGTCGGTGCAAAAGCCCTGAAAATTTCTGGTCAAAAAACGAAAGCAATTTTCCCACCCTGACAATGTTTTTCACCTGAATTCTTCTTCACATCTCTAGTTGCCTGAGTGGCTTCCCAATTTAGGTCTGGATTTTTCCAGAACAGGTGAAATGTGATCAGTCTCCAGGGCTGGAGACACAGAAGGCCATGATGAGACAGGCCTGCACTGACAGCCTAACCTGCTCACCACAACTTACCCCGTATGGACACTCAAAGCCTAGCAGGCACCTGACATCTCTGTCATCCTGGAGAAATAAAGAACACCACTATATATCACAGAACTGCTTTGAAAATTTTTGACAGACTTGCAACTATTTTAATGTTTTCATCTACAAAAGGTGTCACTCATTTTTCAGTCCGATTTTTGAAATGGCTTAAAAACCAAGGCCCAGATCAAAAGAACCTCCCCGTGCCCCCACAAGATGAAAGCTATAGACTTCCGTGCCTGTGGGCATCTTGAGGATGGCAGCACTGGACGTCAGCTTGCTTTGTGTGCCCCCACCCAGAAGCCTGGTCCTCCTGCAGTGCAGCAGGCTCTGGCTGAAGCCCAGGCCCATCCCTCCTACTTCACCTGGCCAGTCGCAGTCCCCTCCCCCCATCGCACCCCCCTCTGTTCCTTAAGGCCTTACGGCCAAGATCAAATCAGGTGGAGCCCTTCCACGGGCCTGTTGGCTCCTGAAAAGTGGGTGTCTAGAGTCCTCACGCTAAACTAACAGTGAGACCCTCTCACATCACTGTGCCTGAGAGCAGGGACACTTGAAGTTGGACACAGGGGCTTTGGGGTCCCCAAAGGACCCCTTTATAGGATATCTTTTTTTTCCCAGGGTGGAAATATCTTTATGATTGATTTTTTTTTCTTATGTTAACAGCTCACTGAAAATAATAAAATAAAAACATTAGAAATAAAAAGAAAAGATGTAAAAAAATCACCTCATTTTTTAGATTTTTGACTTTTTTTTAAGAGACAGAGAAAGGAAGTAGAATGAGTGAATTGGGTCTACACTATAAATATTCTATCTAATAAGAAGGGAATATGCTAATTGACCATCACAACTTCACAATATGGTGACACCCACAGCCAATAAAGAGGGAATATGCTAATTGCCACACCCTCAAAGATGGCAGTGCCCTCAGCCACGAGATGGCGGCACCCAGTCCCCTCAGCCCTACTGGGGTGGCAGGTGCATGACAGGGCCCACCCCCAGGTGGGTCCAGCTGCTCTGTGCACCTGCTTCTGGAGTCTCCTAGTTTCCTTATCCCCATACCTCCCAGGGCTGCCTGAGGCTCAGGTAACCAGGGCCAGCTGAGGCTTGTGCTGCCAACAGTGGCAGCAGCAGAGCTGTGATGGGGCATCACCTTCCCCTGATTGCTGAGTTACTTCCCGCCTCTGAGGGCTCCAGGACTGAGAGGGGCAGGCCCGGCTGAGGGATCCCCCCTCCAGTGCATGAATTTTCATGCACCGGGCCTCTAGTACATAATAAATATATGTGTTTTATACTTAAATATATATAGAGAGAGAATAACTCTTTATGTTATTAGGGCTCTGCATCTCCCACACATAGTTCATTGGGAGGATGTACTATTATTTATTTAAACAAATCTCTACCATTAAATAGATAAATTGTCTTCACAGTTTCATTATTAAAAAATGTGGTGATGAGCACACTCCCACACATATTTGTTCACCTGCAAATGTGCATAGTTTAAATTCTCCACAGTGTCATGGCTAAGTCAGAGCCAGGCTTGTTTTTAGCTTTTGGTGCATGTTACCAAAGTCACCTTCAATGGCTCACATCCACGTGGATTCTTTTGGGGAGTTTATCAATGCTTAACATGCAAAATCAAGCTACCGTGAAGGATCCTGGGTGCCACCAGCCCCCCATTTTCAAAGGCTTTCCCAGGGCCTGACGGCTGCCTTTGCTCTCACAGGTTTTGGAAGGGGGAGACTCGCCCTGGCACAGGCGGGGGTCCTGCGGAGCCTGGAGCAGGAGGAGCCCTTCGACCTGTCCCAGAAGCGCCGGGCCTTCCAGTCTGAAGGGGACAGCGCCAGGGGCAGCTCCAGCCACGAAGAGGAGGAGGAGGAGGACCACTGCTGCAAGGGGGAGCAGGACAGCCCGGGCCCGGCCCCTGCCCCGCAGAGCAGGCAGCTCTGCGCGCCCCAGGATCTCTCCACCAAGCCCGAGACGGCCCCCCGAGCGCCCCTGGAAGCCTGCGAGGAAGAAGAGAAGGAGGAGGAGGAAGAAGAGGAGGAAGAGGAGGAGGCCTTGCAGAAGGAAGAAGGCCAGGAGAAGAGCAAGGACAGCCTTGGGGCAGAAGGCGGCCAGGAGAGAGAGGGCACGAGCAGAGAGGAGGGTCCCAGCCTCAGGGCGCTGCAGGGCGCGCGGCGGGGGGCCTCCTTTTCTGATTACTTGTACTTCAAGCACAGAGAGGAGAGCTTAAAAGAATTACTGGAGAGGAAAATGGAAAAACAAGCAGTGCTTTTAGGTATCTAAGTTGACAGTTTTAGAATTACACTTGGAAAATGAGAAGCAGGCAGTTCACATATAGCTTTCTGCATGAGCTGTCATTTGCTGGTGGCTGGCGACTGGCTCACATCTTCACAGATGGCTCCGACTCTGAGCAGGGACGTCCTGAGCCATGGAAATGCTTCTCGGGTCATTCCGGGCCCTTGATTTTTAACACGCAGGCAGGTCTCCCCGGTGTTATTTCTGCCTCTCCAATGCAAGGCTCTGTGCACACTCCTCTGGGTATCTAACTGCAGGCCGATGCTGAGGTGCTTATAGGAATTCTCCTTTACTTTGACTAAGATACAATACATGGTCAATTTCTTCCAAGTGGCAAAACTATGGTGCTTGACATGTTTCCTAATGAATGACTGTTTCCTTGAATGTGTGAAAGTTACAATATTTTTCCAGGTGAAAATATGAGTAGTTGTATATATAAAAGTTACCTTTATTAAAAAAAAATGTATATATGCCAGACATGACACAGGAGTTCATGAAAAGGAGTGTTCTCATCTAGTCATTGCAGAAATAAGATGACGTTTCAAGAGAAAATGAATAATTATGACTAAGGAAAGCCCAGCCGTACTTGGGTTCCTGCCTGGGTCCAGCCTCTTCCATTGGGTGCGGCGTTAGGAGCCGGTTTGCAGATGATGCCCAGTGCTGGAGCCCATGTCCCGATTGGAGCTCCCTCCTGGAGGCCTTGCTAAAGCAGCTGCAAGAGGAATTGTCACTTTGGGAACAGCTGGCTTCTCCTTGGGGCTAGAGCTGGGGCAGTCAGGGAAGGCTCCTCCCTGAAGTTGAAGGTCTGACTTGTTTGGAGAATTAGAATGGCCAGCAGCCGGTCACCAGCAGGAGAGAGTCTGGGCTGTGTTCCCAATGCGCCTGCACATTAGAGTCAGTGCGGGGAGCCTTTCTAACAATGGAATTGTTAGAAACCCTGATGGAATTGGCCTGAGTGGAGCCCCTGCTTCGCTCATTTTCTAAATGGCCCCATGATTCTTCCGTGCAGCCAGGGTTGAGAAGCATGGACTGGGCTAAAATAGTGACTCCCAGGACCCCCTCCCAGGGACTCCATGAAGATTTCTGTGTCTGGCTTCAGACTCATTCGGAGAGAGAGCAGGAGACCTAGGAATCATACTGCTGACCTGGGCTTTTCACCTGTTCTGGAAGGGACACACACAGTATGAACACATGTTTTCTAAATTTCAAGATGATGCCTGAGATGTTTAAGGTCACTTAATATCTTTTTAAAGCACATAGCCAATTTATAGTGACTAATCACGTCTTCCTAGATGCTTGAATCCTGACTCCAATGAGTGCCGATGATCATAACGGGTGGGCCGAGCCTGCAGGTAGGCTTCCCTTGGGCATGGCACCGAATAGCGCAGTACTGACAGGACGTCACTTAAGTGTGGCTGACCATAAGCAGGAACCCGCTGGTACTGTGTCTGTGTTTATGTAAAAACTGCCTCTAGGTTGGTAGTTTCAACTCTTATTTGTAGAGCTAGGTACTGTTTGTTATTTTGCTTCCTCTCCTCCCAAAGTCCCCGATACATTTCTTTAGAAGACCTGGCCCATCTTTGACTGCTGGGTGCTAGCTTTTTCTCTTGGCCACGGTGCTTCCCCATCAGCCTCATCTCGTTCTCATTCTTCTCCCCGGGTGCTTTGTCAATTCCTGATGCCTTTCTCCTGCCACTGTGCCTAAAGCTCCTCCCTTCAGCCTCACTACCGCCCAGTGCCAAAGCTGCTTAAGCTTCCATGCCCTTAGGTCGGAGCCTCTGCAAAGGGATGCTGAAGGTTAGTGTGGCTTCTACAGTTACAAACACAACTGTGTGGTCAAGAACCTGTCCCAAGTCCTCAGAGGGGCAACTTGCTGTCCACTCATTAATATGGCTCATAGATGCCCTGATGAACTCACCCAGGAGGTGGACCATGCGGTCTGTGAGGTCCCCGGTTCTTAGGGTCCTGGTCCATACTTAACTCTTTTAGCAGTTGTGGGTGGAGGAGCTATTCTAAGGGCTGCAGACTTCCAGTTTGTTCTGGGTTTGGCTAGCTGGAATGGGAACCAGGGCATCTAGAATAGCAAGCTCTAGTCCTTTCTAACCAAAATGGATCTCGTGGGAATGTTTGAGGAACAAGGTCATGTTGAGATGGAGAGAGTGATGTCCAGGAGAGTGGTTTTCACATGGTCTATTGGGGCGCCCCTCCAGGGCTGCAAGGGAGAAGAGAGGCTCTCAGTACGCATGCCCAGGTCACTCAGTGTGGTTCAAATTTCGTCTGTTCTACACGTTAGACTTCTCAGGAAAATTTAATTTGTAGGGAGAAGGAGGTCCAAGGGAAGTAGTAAAAAGTTGTTATGGAGCATATTCTAAGGCATGTGTATAGTTCATAACTCTGAGTAGGAGATATTTAATTAGCTCTTTCCCCATGGTTGGTATACACTGATCTTCTGAGAACCAAGGTTAAAATGTTGGTTTTGTATGTTTTTTGAGTGACCAGCATCTGGTTTCCCCCGGACAACCCTGGTTTATACCTATTGTTCCAGGATGATTATCAGTAGTGTCGCCTAAACTCTGAAAATTGTCCCAGTTTGGATAATAAATTACACGGACACCAATGCCTAGGTGCAGAGCTCAGGAGAGAGTTAGCCAACCCTGCCTAATGAGCTAATTAATCAGAATGAAACCATGTAGGAGAGGCTCCGAGTCCATCCTCACAGAACCTCAGGGACGATATCATCCAGGGTAATCAGCACTCCAGGGCCAGGACAGCATGACATTCATCACATTGTGACACTCTGAAAAGAGGCCACTACCAGATGCTTTCCAGGCTTTTAACCACTGTCACTTTGAACCGAAAAACTGACCAACCCTGTGGCATATTTTTCTTTATCCTTTCCATTCAGGCCTATCACTACCTCCTCTTATGCCTTTCAAATCTTGTACTCTTTCTTTTTTTAAAAAAATTTGACTCCCCACTGGCCATGAGACTGAAGCTGACCTTTCATAACCCCGCAAGGATAACTGGTATATTTGCATTTGAGTAGCTACGTGGAGAAAGCTTAAAGTGAATACTGTATTTATTAAGCCCTGAGGCATCTAATAAAATATTAACATCGTGTTTTGAATCGTGATCTTTGTCTGCTTTGCTGGAACAAAATGTAACAGAGCTAACATTTAAAATCCTTCACATATTTGGACAACATTACGCCAAATGTTGATTTTGTACAAAATTCTGGCTTGCTATTTAAAGATGAAAACTCCAAATATGTAGTAGCAGCAGGTTGTGAATATTGCTTTCTGCTCAGTGAAAAAGCAGTTTACCTGAAAAGAGCATGTAGCCTATATTTTGTTAACTTAAGCAAATAAAGACATGTTGAAAAAGCTGAGTTAGTTATTTGCAAACACCCACATTTTGCAAGGAAGTTGCCATTGTCAATGTCTCAGTCCCATCCTATACCCTCTGCCTGGCCCAGGGAAGGGGAGGGGGGGGGGTGTCCTCATTGGCTGGAACCTCAGCCCAGGGACACAGATACTGAATTCTCCCTCCCTCCTTCAGAAAGGATTAATGACTTGGGCCCATCTGCTGGCTGGTGACATCTTCCTATCCTTTCCATCTTTCCTATTAAAATAAACAAACAAAACAAAACAAAACAAAAAAAACCTAGTTCTGGAAGGGTGTCATGGAAAAGTGGGAGTTAGAAACTGTATTGCCCATTCTGCATCAGGTTCTTTGTAGAATAAAGTTCAACCAAGAGGAAGTGTACTTTAGTGGACAAGAGCACAGCTTCTGGTGCCAGATACCTGGGTTCAAAGCCCAGCTCTCCCACTTTCAATCTTTAGGAACTGACACCATTTTGTGAACTGCTCTGTGCCTGTTTCTTCATCTGTAAAATGAGACTAAAAAACAAACAAACAAACAAAAAACTACCTTCCTCACCAGGCTGTTGTGTGGGTTAATATACCTGAGTCACTTATGTGACTCACAGTTCATCCTACATAATATTATTAGTAGGTATTATCATCAGCAAAGTGGCCAGGAAACAGAACACTCTGTTCTCCTCATCAGAGAACTCACCACGCAGTGTGGGCAGGGGAAACTGTTGCTTTCTATGTGAGCTCCCCTTTTAAACACTACAACTGTTACATGCCAACCACTGTGCCAGGCATTTACACACTTGATCTCACTTAAGCCTCACACAACTCTGAGAAGCAAACATTGTTATCTCCATTTCATGGATGCAGAAGTGGAGGTTCAGGAGAGTAAAAGAGCTTGCTTCAAATTACCTAGCTGGTAAGTTCCTCCTTTGCCTTCAAAGTATTTAGGGTGTGGCAAGTTAACGTTTCTGAAGTACCGTAGATGCTGAGACAAATGTGAGTGCAACGTGTTAATTAGAAATTGGCATTAGTTAAAAGGAGGGGGAAGAAAGAAGACTGAGCAAAGAGAGAAGCCAAACAGTGAGGTAGGCACAACCAAGCCCCAGCAGGCAGCTCTGGGGAAGGACCTTTCCACCCCCACCAGAAAGGTATGACCTCGGGCAGGTATGACTCTTCAGCTGGGGCCCGCTCTCCAGGAGCCAGTGGCTGGGGACTGTGTGCTGATTGCAGTCCTCACAGGTCAGTGTGAGTCCTTCCTTGAAAAGAGACCAGTGACTCATCTTTGTGTCTAGTACAGTCCACCCTTTGCACCATGCCCATCCATGTCATGTACACACATGTCATGTACACTCCTCCAGGGTTCCAGAAGGCCTCTCTTCCTGAGGGAAAACTCAGAACACCAGAGTTAGCAGAACCAACTTCAGCCCCACTAAGGCAATCAGTGTAATAGACAGATGGATACTCATTGTCTCCTTCCTCCTTCCATTGTAGATACCTCTCACCTTTCCAGGTGGTATGACCAGATCCTCATCACCAAGGGGTCTGAGCCTTGATCATCATGGTGCAATGGACTCGATGTTTGTGTCCCCCGGATTAGGAATTGAAGCCCTA